TTCCACGAGTGACCAGTTCCGTGCCATGATCGAATGCCCCGCCTACTCTGACTCAGGGATAAGAAGTGTAGCTCACATCAACTAGCAAAAGTAACCAGCGAAAGTGCAGAATGCCCCCTCCAAGCCTAACAGCGCCTTAATTGTAGCTACAAGTTTATTGTGAAGTTCCACTACGAACAAATGTGGCAAACAAGGAATGTGTCTTTGAGCACGAGAAAACGGTGCGAAAAAGTCTGTGAATAGGCGCAGTTGCGAATGGATGAAAAAGTAGAAAAGTAGGCGTACTGTAGAAAAAAATGCTGTTTAACGATTTGCGGTACGAAACGACCTCAGGGGGTACCCTAATTAGCACCTCCGAATGAGTGCGCTATCCCCTAACCACAAAGCGTGAGGTGTGAATTCGTGTCCCCCTCCTGCAGGGCTTCAGCTCCTAGCTCAGTATTTTCAAAGGCAGTTGGCACGATAATTTGGTACTCGGCCTAAAATGCTAGCAGGGCGCTATATAGTGGGAAATGGCGAAAAAACGAAGTGAAACGGTCAAAAACCTGCGAAGAAAAGCCTTCGTTCTTAATGACTCAGAAGCAATTTCGGACGAGTTTCCCGTAGGCATCTTGCCAATAACCGCTAGGTAGATACGGCTGCATATGTGTACTCATATATCCATGCAGCATCGCAGCCGCTTCATACCAATCCCTTCGCTTCATATTTTACTTAGCAAATGAAGCAATACGAGCATCAGGTACGGTCGTCCATTTGTGGGCGGGCGGGCGTGGTGGGCGTTCGGGTCGGTATGTTGTAGCTTGATAGGGCCCTTATAAGGGTACCTTCCTAGGAAAGGCCTGCGACAAGCGCACTGCCAAAGGGCCGAGGAACTCGTCTGCCAGTACAACCAATCGAATCCTTAGGGAAACGGGCCAACGCCTTGAGGATATACTCGAGAACCACGGGCACTTCACGCCAAACGAAGCTCGATACCGCCGTGAACCCCAGAGGCCCAATCAAACATAATCCAAAATTGTGAGGAAAAAGGGACACAGGGGATAGGCGAGAAAAGTACCAGAAAAATTAACTTTAAACACATAGACTTTTGAAAACCGTCAAGCTAAACAATAAGGGGAAATGGGCCGAGAGCACGAATTGTCGCACGTCCTGCCTACCGTACAGAACAACCGGTTTACTTATTGCGGTTCAATCTACACCGTGCCCTTACAATTTGATCTTTTGGGAAGATTACTATACTTAAGGCCATGCTGACCTATCCTATTTTTTCCAGTTCCTATAAAGGATAAAGAATAAATCCTTCGCTCGCATCAAGCCCTTGGGAATGCGCAGCCGCATCTAACCGCCATTCAGACGTAAAGGCATTATGGAATGCGGATGTGGCCTATACAATGACTTGCGGTGGCCAGCCGATACAAGTCAGTGTTTTATCCTCCCAGACGAATCTGGTACCAATTTACCGTCCCCGGAGGGTAGAAGGCTTGGTTGGCCTGGGCGGGTGTCGACCCGGGATTCGAACCCGGCGCCGCGCGAGTGGTAAGCGCGCCACTTGTCACTACACCACCTCCGCTTCCGTTCCTATACACTGGAATTTTGTGCCACTGAGTGCTATACTGCAGAATAGTTTCCATTATCTCCCTCGCTGTAAGCTTGGATGTTTAATTTGTCAGTATTGAGCTGACTCTCGAGGTTCCCAAGTGAGAAGCCCTTTTTTCCGGCCTGAGGAGAAAAAACCCTCAAGGAACTCCTTGAGAAACTGACGAATTTTGGGGAAAAACTGCGGAAAAACGGTAGGAAATTGAAAGAATTTGGGGAGGTTGTAGGTAGGATGGGTCATTGTGGAAGGTGAGATTATACCTGAGGAGGAATTTTCAAGGGGAGGGTCCTATTTTGCAAAAATGTTCAAAAACAGTGCAAGACTGCTCGTATGCGTCGGCTCTAGCACGACTCTCTTCGGTCTAAAAACTCAGCTTTACCCACCTTGTCACCTCTTTCTGCACCATGTTTTCCCTTAGAAAAGCCTTCGTCAGCCGAGGTAGATGGGTTGGTAGGGGGACTGCGCTAATGGTAAAACTGGATCGGACAATAAAACCTTTCTCCTATAATCCTCCACCTTTTCGCATTGAAGCAAACCTTGTTGAACAAACCAAATGCGTCTCCTTCCCCAGTGGCTCAATTAGGACTCCCTACTGTTCAGCGGAATAGAGCAGTTGAAAACACGTTTCACGATAATCGAATGGGCTGAGACCGTTGTGCTGTGCGTTGTGCACGTCCTCTCCACGGTACAAGAAGAAGTGAGCCAATGAGGAACACAGTGGTTGAGTTCCCGCCCATTGACTACCGCGGAATGTCTCCTTACGCCTTAGTCTTTACGCACAATCGTGCCTCCAATCATCATCGATACCGAGACGTCGAAAAAGGATTTATTTTATCGATCTGCTCAATCATCACAGGAATTCCACGCTGGCACCTGGTGCTGAGAAAGCGTGGTAGACGAGATTATCACCGAGAAACACCGGTCGAATGTCGTCGATCAGCGCCACAACCGTGCCACTCCATCCGCTCACATGTGCTCCATAGGCTCGAGCCATACGACATCTGGCGACCAACTTGTCCGCGGCCTTGCTACTGCATTCGAAGTCCTTAAAAATGCGACAATAATCATCATACCAAATAATCAACAATGGGAACAATAATAGTACAAATACTTTTATTATCAAAACCTTTTTTGGGAAAGTAACCTCTCACTGCAGCCGATTCTGCTTGCACGTGCATGGTAGTAGTATCGATTTCGCACGATTGCACAGATCGATACTTTTCGTGCGACTGTTTTCCATGGGAACATTTTTTTGTTTCCCGCATCAAAAGATGCAAAGATCACAATGATGGAAACCCCGGAAGGACGAACCACGCCTTCGCAACGGCCAAAAAAGCACAGTCTTGTTCGCTGCGGATGCCGTAGCGCGTCAGGGGGCTGGGTATGGGGCATGGGCAACCCGTTTTCCATAAATTGTTACCCTTGCCCATTCCACAGCTGACGGATGACAGATAAAGGGCTGGCGAGGCACCGAACCCAGCACCTCCCCTCCCCTTCCCCCCCCACCAGGAGTCAGTGTTCACAGCGAACACAGACGAAAATCAGGAGGAAGTTTTCAAAGAGGAAAGCACTTGGCTGATGGTTCCCGCCCAAAAGATCAACGCGGACTGCTTCTTGCGTTACTTTGTGCACCCCATCGGTGCTTTCTATTAGTATGATGAGTGGACATTTAACTTGAACACCATAAACATCATCAGTAAATGTTGAAATGAGATCCGATTCAGATGCTTCGTGAGCAATTTTCCAGTTATCACTTTCGTGTACTCCAAGTAACACAGAGGCTGTTCTGCACTTACCCTGCTACAACTCTCGTGACATTCATTGAAGAACATTCCCATCCCGAGCAAATCTCGTGTTTCGCAGGTCCTTTCGAATTTTTCGACACGTAGTGCTTCACTGAATACATGTCGAGCAACGGATCGAAGCTTGAATGGCGACGCTGAAAAAAAGAGTCTGCAGCTGCAATCTCAAGGCACGAGCGACAAAGAATCATATGAATGGCAGAAGAGAAAGACGCTCGTAAAGCTGGTGGGCTCTATAGGCCTTCTATGGCAGTGAAGCAACTTATCGGAGAAATCCGAATTACGATTGTGAAAGGTTTTCTCCTAGAAATGTAGCCGATGTCGTCGCATCCGGCGCAGTGGGGTCAGGAGGAGTGAAATGAGCCCATCCATAATGGCTGTATTGTATCAAGAGTAATCGGTCAGTGATGGATTCAGGAAGAACACAGCTAGTTGCAGAAAACGCAGGGTTCACTTCATGCCTCCTGACACCTCTTCAAAGGACTGTGACTAAATCAACTGTGATCTTTCTGTTCATCTGCCCGGCAAATCTAGAGCAGCCATCGTCTCCCCTCCAAGGTGACTAGAACGAAAGTACAACCCTGCTTTCGAGCGATGAGTTCGGTGATGAATGGTTCACCTATTTAAAGTGTTTTAGCAACAGGAAAAGACGACTGGTCTTACAGTAAGTTATGCCTTCGGCGAAACACTCCTCAAGATCGTCTGAGCCAAGCATCGACGCCAACTCGTTCCGAGTCGCAGTTTCGGGCAGACTTTCGCACAGCGCTATCATCTCTTCCAAATGCTTCCCTAGTGCATCCTGAACTGAATACTGATGTCGTTCAACCTGAAGTCTCTCAGGGCTACGGCCGGCTAGGCGCAGAGGAGTGTAGCGGCGTAATACTCGCTTTGGTTCACATCATCGAGAAAACATACCAGATAAGCCAGTCATAGAAGGCTCAGCACAAAGTTGTACGCGACCGTCGTCTCGCAACACGCCCCTCTTCTCGCCCCCTATAACTGTGCTTATCCCGAACGTTGTATCTACCGGAGTAGAACATTGAGCAACACTCACCTGCACGTCTTTCAATCGAGAATATATGCAAGTTTTGCCAGCGTTCTTTAGAAGCAACTGAAAAAGTGTGCATTGGATAGAAATTGTTGGAATTTTTTTGCATTTTTGCACAGTGGAGGGGACATTGAACTGCCAACTTCTCCTAAATTTGTACCAGGCCAATCTTGTGAAAAGGTGTATAATCCTCTGTGTACCGAAACTGGATCACCCGCACAATCCACGGGGCATTACAGCGTCGATAGATCGAAGTAGATCTGTTTGCGTTAGAAGGCCGTTGCAACGATATTGATACTTGTTAAAATGCAAGCAGGATGCATACGCTAGTGCGAAAATGGCCGAAAAAACGAAGCAAAACGGGTCGGAAACCTCGCGAAAAAAAAGCCTTCGTTTTTTAGATGACTCAAAAGTAATTCGGCACGAGTTCCCGTCGTAGGCTTCTGTGCCGTTAACACACTGCGGTGAGGTAGGGCCTGCACGACTGTACTCATATTACGCATGCAGGCAGGGAAGGGATAAAGAGCCGCTACGCAGCGTCTTGCTCAGGCTATTAATCTCACTCGTCTTAGGGAATTATTTTTGCCAACTGCCTTTATAGAAAGTAATTAGCAATAAGGGAAGAATCGCCCCCTCTAAGCCAAACATCACCTTGCTGTAATGGCGATGGACCCAAAAAGGATAGTTTTTGTGTAATGTTGGTCGCTACATCGTACGTTTGGCTAGACAGTGTGCGATCACCAGATGGGCGGATATTATATCCGTTGTGCCATCTTCATCAACTGCGCCTTCGCTGCTGAAATGGTCCAAAAAACATACACTCTAGTTCTGCGGACGGTTGGGCGTGTCAGCCAGTATGAGTGTGTCACCCTATCAGAGCTGTTTTCTGCCTTCTTGTTGAAGAGCGCATGCGACTCAAAGTGGTAGAAAACGAGTAATACGAAGCATATGATACGGTATTGTCACTTGCCCGTTTCAACAACTGGTGTAGAACGGTGCTTGGACCTGCGAAACGGCAGTCCGCACTGACGCTCAACCGCCCCGCATCGAACTACAGGTATATTCATATGTAGAGCTTAAACTTTTTAGGGAGGAGACTTCGTCGGAGGATAACTATTTATCGTGCGGGATTTATAGGGTGTCGTAGGAATTCCATGGAGACGTGTAGGAAAAACCGAAAGACGCTAAATAAAGGGTAGATCATGATTCGAGTTTGTCTAGGCTTAGAAGCCTCGCACGTCTGGTTATCGCGGACTGTGCCTGAGCGCTTTTTTTTATCTCGATCTATCCCAGTGAAAATATGTATTATGAACCAACAAACCTTTCCGGCAATCAGTCCCTCTGCAAATCGCTGCTCCCGTAAGGCTGTAGTCTGAAATATAGGAGATGAATATTGGTGAGTTCCTACTAGAACTGCTTGCTTTAGCTTTTCCCTTCGAACTTGCCAAGTATTCTGGGTTCGCAGCACATAAATGAGCTCATCTTCTACACTCAGCGATTGGGTAGACACATATAGTCGTTTTCGCGGCGCCGGGGCTGTCAGGGAGCTTGGTTAGATTCGATTCGTTCCCACCTATTGTTGTAGCTCGCCCGTTTCAATAACTTATAAAGAATGAACCGGCGTCGCGCCAAACTTAGCCCTTCTCCCAGCATATTCCATATTACTTGCGTGGGTACAGGCCGTTGTGCTTCCCACAATGAACTGCTCTCCTCTGTACTATCCAGGTAAGAAGGAGCGCAGCAAGGAAGCACGACAGTCAGCCTCACCCGCCCCTTTAGTCATCTTGGAATTTCCCGTCTTATCGAGAATACGGTTACCCCAGAGATAAACCAGAATTTACACAGTTTTCTATCGTATCATCCCTTCGCCTCCCACTCGCCTAGTAAAGCTGCGGACAGTGACAGAGCCTTCCGAAATTGAAAGGGAAAAACAAGCGTAAATACTCAACACATATTCGTTACCGTATGCGGTTTCTCTCCACAGTTCAGCACATCGAATACGACAATCGGTGGAAGATTCACTAGTCGCGTTCGAAGAGGGAAATAATCAAATCGAACAGCCATATCTTCACTGCCCAATACCTTAATAGACAGGAAAATGTCTAGGGCTTGATAGGCACAGCCAACACTAATGGTTTAGGTAGAGATATGGGAGGGGACATGCATCCATTGTGCATTCCTTAGTGGGAGCCTTCTTCAAATGCGGAAAAGAGGAAACACGGGCAACCAATAAATAAGAATGGCCTGGGGTTTCCGCCCTTATCTCCGCTCATACGATCGTTGTGAAGAGTGCTTCTAAAGTAACTCGAAGAAATTTTTTCTGTTTACTCTGTATTTTCACGGTGAGACTATTCTCTTTCAAACGTCGGTGTCAGAAGTTGAAGAGGACGGGCGAGAATAGTCCAGGGTTTTATTCGATTCTCTTACCTGCGTGAGGTGGATTGTCCTGTCGCCATGCTGTCCAACGTACTGCTCAGCGTTTGCACACAAGGTGGCAAGTTCCTCTCTGGAAAGATAGGTAGCTCATTTGTAATGCTTGCATTGAACCTTACTGGTTTATAAAGTGAGTATCAATGGTGAAGGATGGTTTCATGGGCAGAGAAACTCACCGTGTAATCCCTTCAAACCCCTGTCCAGTGTGAATCGCCCAGCTGGTAAGTGCCGCAGCGCACACGATTGAAGAACTGCTAGAAAGTCCTACTGACGAAGGAATACAACCTAAAGCAGTCAATTCAGTTACGAAAAATTAGGCCGTAATTGTCCGATTAAATATAGAAATCCTATACATCATTACGGTAAAGTGGCAGTTTGAAAGTTGCTCGCCAATGAGGAAGATCTTTTTCAACTGCCTCCGCCCATATGATAATCGCGGACTGTAGCTTGAACGCTCTCATATTCCCGCCCTGCAATCGTTTTTTTACGGGTTGCAACTTCCATACCTTCCATTAATATGTCGAAACCAATGGCAGCGACTTTCAATCGATCCAAGACTCCTTTCCACCCTGCCAACAAATAATCGAACCATTCAGGACATGTCGTTCCGTTCCATTCTGATGGCAGACTGATGCTGCACGACCTACAAAGTTTTTTCGAATAATTTCTGCTTTGCAGGATGCAGTGCACAAAACATCCCATGTTGTTGTCTGGGCGGTGCCAGGATGGAATCTGTAGCTCGGTCAGGTAGCCTTGTCCAGCTGCTGCGCATTGTGAAGTGCTAACTTGAGAATTAAAACGCCAACCACCTCGCTACAAAGGACAAGTCGGCCGGAGGGGCGGAGGGAGGGAGCTGCTTTAACTTCGAAGGAAATGTATATGGTTGTCAATTTTTCTCTTTTTTCAGGCATGTCGGATACCCTCTTCCCCGGCCCTGCTCGACAGCAGAGAAACTGGAGGATTTTCGAGAAAAAAAAACTTTTAGGCTGCGTTTATACTTTGCGGCAGCGTAGCGTAGCGCTTCCAGCGTACGCCAGCGGCAGTGCCGAAGAGAGGATGCATATCGATCTAGCTTCACCAGCGTCACCAGCGGCACGCTAGCGCACGCTGGCGTAGAGAGCACTGAACGGAGGAGAGTACAAAGTACTCTCCTCCGTTCAGTGCTCTCTAGCCCCTCTCTAGCCCCGTCGCTGGAAGCGCTGGGAAAACGCTGGAGAAACGCTGGTGAAGCTAGATCGATAGCTATGCTTCCCGTGCCCTCGCTACGCCAGCGTGCCGCTGGTGAAGCTAGATCGATATGCATCCTCTCTTCGGCACTGCCGCTGGCGTACGCTGGAAGCGCTACGCTACGCTACGCTGCCGCAAAGTATAAACGCAGCCTTAGAAAGTGGGAGGAAGGGTGAAAATTTAGGAATTAAACATATCTGGATAGTCTTCAATAGTGCTCATCGGTAAAGCGGATGGGGGATATTGTGTTGCAATGTGCAGTTTACAAAGGATTGAAAGCCATTCTGTTGGTTCTTGGACCGCCCTCGAAATTCCAGCCAAGGGCGAGGTCGACGCCCGACAGCCACCCGAGCCATCGACTCAGTTGCAGCAGCAAGGGACTTTTTTCAGTTGACAACGTGAACTCGGGCAGCTATTCGTATTGTTTCATCATTGAAAATGAGTCACAAGAGGTCGCTGTACTCCACAGACCAAGTGGCGAGTTAAACAGCGAATCGCACTGCAACGAAAGGGGATCAGTAATTCATGCATGATGCAATCTTCGCAAGATCTTTGAAACAGCGATTTAGTTTCCGAATGCGCTGCAAAAAGAAATCATTGTTTTACCCCGTTTCCTAAAAGTACGACCCCTCCTGGACCAGGATGTACACTCTTGTTCGGTTGGAGCGTTGGAGGCGTGTCAGGGGCTGGGTCTGGGGCGGCACCAACCCGTTTTCCACCAATTATGGTTGTCTGCTACCTCCACCGCGCGTACAAAGGGATGGCGTCGCGCCAAAGCCGGCCCCTCAAAAGCTCTATCATCAGCAGCGAACAAGACTGTGGTTCAGCACATCAGAGCCGTGGCGAGGGGGCAAAAGAGGGGTCACAAAGGGATCATTCGCACTAGGGCTCAACTCAGTCAAGCCGATTAGGCAGGCACACTCGAGTGGCTTTCGCGCGATGTCGCGCCTCTTATGTCTTGAACTGTCCCTCAGAAGAACACGGTTCGTCGTGAAACTTTGGTTACAAGGCACGAAGTACGCTGAGATCCCTGGCTAGGGGTCGTATTTGGCTGCTGTTGGAAGGGAGGGGGACATGTTTGTTCCTGAAATGTCTTCGATTCTATCTTTTCTCGGTTTTCCTGTTTCAAGTGCGCTGTGTACCCCCTTTCGCCACGATCTTCACCTTCGCCCCCTCGACGGTATTTTCTTTATTGGGAAAAACAGGTATTTAGCTTTTATGCTTTTGGTTACGGTTGTCAGTATGCATAAAGTTTTTACACCGAATTCCTCCTCAGTCAAACTTCTGAGAAATCAGCAAATGAACTTTTGTTTTGTTCAAAGCTTTCGAGATTCAAGGCTGGTTTATGAAAAACTGCACACTTCACATGCCCTCGGGAGAGTCACAAGATACTGTTATTCTAGCTCTGAAGTTCATATTTAAATCTATTTTTACCATCCTCATTTTAATTTTCCAGTGACAAAAACACTAGAACATCTGAACAACGGCAAGGAAAGAAAAAAAAAGAAAAATTACCTGTAGTCTTCGTCTGTATTCACTAGACGAATCTCAGCTCGATCGTTAGGAGCGGCCAGGATTTCTGTGCCCGTATCTGTTGCCATTGCAATTGTTCCAAAACCATGTTCAGCTATGTGTTCTCCTGAATTCACTATTATTTATTGTTGGTCTGTTGTTAGAAGGACAGCTCAAGAGCTCACTGAATATGAAATCATCAACTCAAGAAGTCACTCAAATTGGAAAAACTGATAGTGGTGGGGGGGGGGGGGGTGGAAGCAGAATGTCGCTCAGCTTTCCTATTTGGATTAGCAAGTGCCCTTGCACTAGGACAAAGATGCTCTTAAACGTTCCGAATCAAGGCAGTTCCATGCAAGGAACAGCTCTCAAAGTTCACCTGAATGGGATAGAAAGACAAGGGTGAATCGATCGTAGTGCTCGACGACAGAATCGCATAAATGGCGAGTTCACTATCCTGATCTAGCTGAGAAGGGTAGGGTAAATGGCAACCATGAAGTGATGCGGCGATACTGCAGGCTGGCCTAGAAGTATATCAGAACTTCCAAGAAATAGCAGTGTAAGTTTCGAGCGATGGCATGCGTTTTCAGAAGCTAATATTCAATAGCTGTCCCGGAAATAATAAACGACCCCACTTCTTGAACGCTATCATGGGCCCTATAATTAGTCTGCCTTATCAGAAAGATAGCCTAGACGACGGCATGGTCAGCACGGATTACTTGGGCGGAGCTGGGCAACAAAAATGAGCTTGACTTCGCCCACATGATAAGCGCAGACGGTGCCTTTAACCCATGGGTGGACGAAAGGTTAATTTGTGCGGTTGTGATAGAGATTTTATTCTTTTAGAATAGTGAAGCCACTCTTCCCCTTTGCGCACAATCGAGCCCTCATCGAGGACACCGTTTGGGATTGCCAAGAGTCACAAGCCAAGGTCATTCACATGTCCCTCCTTTTCCAGCCTACGGCGCCGTTCCCCGGCTGCGGATCTCCTCCTACCTTCTAACTATACGATGACATCCTGACAAGCGAATGGCAACACACACTCCCATCGTCCCATCCCCCTCAGACACCCCCATCGAATTCTAGGTTTACCTTACCGCCATCATTATCGCGGCTGTTACGATGAGTCCGACCGGGCAGGTTTTATCGCGGTGTGGTATCCCTATTGATCTTGAGCTATATTAGCTGTATCGGTTAGATATATACCATAGAGCCTCGTTCGCTGCGGATGAGGGGGCGTGATCAACAGTGTAATGAGTTCGGGGTTCTGCGCGCGCCACTTGAGCGTCTGTTCTTCACCAGTTGTTCAAGCGGGTAGAGTGACAAAAAGCCTGAAAAACGACTGTCAGGGACAATGTGATACACAGTCTAAGGGTGTGAGCATAATTAATGATTTTACGGTGTTCACGGTGGCATAGTGGCAAATGGTGCCACTTACCTTGGGTACGGTTTCAGGCCAGTCTTGGACCATCCTCAATATACCGTCCGTTCGTAGACTGACAAATTCGTATCATGGCTAGCCTAGGAGGACAGAAAGATTACCCCTGGTTGGCCCGGGTACTGGCGAAAACATCACTACGACTTCGAATAGAAGTGTGCCCCTCCCATAAAGGGATTGATCGAGGTAAGACCCTCAACGAGGAAGGTCGTCTTAGGTGGCTGTAGGGACAGAGGGGTCGTATTTGCCTTCAAGAAGAATATTCTTGGTTTTTTCCCTCCAATGTACGCTGTGTATCCCCCTTGATTTACGGCGGTTTTTTGAGGAGGTGGATGACTATAGGAAGTTGGGAAAGTTTGGGAAGATTTGAGGTAGGATAGGGAAGGGTGTCACCTAAGAGAGGTGGAAATCATGAGTGATTCTTCAAGCATCTATTGACTCGATGTTCAGTGAGAATCGATCTGGTCTAGAAAGACGTTGATCGCTTACAAAGCGCATAAAGTGCAAAAAAATGCTCGGATAAGAGAACAGATTGAGCACAAGATTATTGATCGATGGAGAGCTGAAGCTCATGCCAAAATCTTTAGTTTCTCAGAGTAAGGCAGGAGAAGCATAAAGTATCAC